TCTTGGAGTTTGTTTATGAAGTGCTTGTTTCCTGGCATTTGAATGCTTGTTCTGGACACACATAAAAATGTAGAATTTCAGTGTCTGGCCTTCAAATATGAAGTGTAAAGCAAATCTGGATGATGCACCTATTTCATTCACTCACTGAAGTATACCTAAATTTCAGTGGTTTAAGCCTCATACATAGTATGATGGTCTCTATCTTGTGGACTTCGTAGTCTTAAGAAAGATTAATCTGAAATTTGCTTTTCCTACTAGCTTTTCACTGAAGTCTAGCTGCAATATGAGTTACTTGCATAGCCATAGGACTACTGTATAATCCCTGGAATTCAGTGTAAATGGTTAAGGAGTCCTTAGTGTCAAGAGTGGTTAGTTAGTATCAGTACCAAGGGATCACTGGAGCACCTAGATTTCCTTAAAAAGAAATACAGTTCTTCCTTTCAGCTTCTCTGAGCCATTTACACTTAGTCTTTTACTCACTGAGGTATTAGGGAATCTTTAATAACATACTAATCTGGAAAAAAGTGTTGCTTTGTTACAAATTTTATTTAAAGTAGTCTATGTGGTTATAATGCTGCTCTGCTGATGCATTATTTAAGTACAGGAAACTTCTCTTAATACATTTTTTTTCTTTGTGTAGGTATTTAGATTCAATATTAAATACCATATAGCACATAAGAATTCAGAACAAGCATTAACTCCAGCAAAGCAAGGAGAGCTGACTGATTCTCAAGACGGCCCACTGATGTTCTGAGGCTTGTGCATAAAACAAAGGCTAGAAACTCCTAACTAGAAATTATTAGTTACTGTGGCAAAAGTAGATACTTATATTTTGCCATCATCAAATTTGTGCGTATCAGAGGTTCTGAGTAATTTTCAGTACTTGAGCTGTGAAGGGTAGCAAGAAAGCAGTAACAAAGATATTTTTTTTAGAAGATCTAGCTGGAGCATTTCCTTAATAGAAGTCTGTAAAATAGGCAAGTATTCTGTAAAGCAGAAGCTCTTT